ACCGCACCTGGGGGGTCGAAATCGTCCGGCTCAAGGGGGGCGAGCGGGCGGGCGGGATAGAGGGAGGCAGGGGGGTCAGACGAGGGGCCAGGAAAGAAGGGTGTGGGAAACACGGCGATGGAAGTGGCAGCGCACTGTCGGTGTTCTCAGAGGCCAGGGGAAGGGAGGTCACCGGGGAGACCAGGACGGAACCGACGGCGGCAAGCGCAAGCGCCGAGAGCGTCGTGGCGGCCGAGAGCATGGTTGTCTCTGTTCGGGCAGGCAACGCAGAGGGCGGGGGAGGGGGGCGGGGGAGGGGCGGAGGCGCGACGGAGGGAGTGCAAAGGGGGAAGGAAAGGCTGATGGCAGGCAAATGTGCAAAGGATAACAGGCCCACGGGTCGGGCGGAAGTGGCGATGGGGACTGAAAAAGATCGCGCCTTCCTGGGTGGCGCCCCGGCCGAGGTTCGGGCCGACCGCTTCTCCGGCGCACGAAGGGCGCGCTCGCGCGCCCGTACGAATGCCCCTGCGCACACGACAACACAGACAGACGCACATGCACAGGTGCGCCAGGCGGGCATGCATTCCCGTGTCAGGGGGGGAGTGCCGTGGATTGGGGCCGGGCACGGGGAAATTAACTGACTGGCACGACGATTCCAGCCGGGCACGGGGCGCACGGCCTCCGCCCCGCTCCCGGGCTCGCCCCTGAGCGTCTGCGAGTGTACCTGCCGCCCTCGCCTTCCCCGGGGGGGGGGGGATATATGTCCGGGATTGGGCCGACGTGGCAGCGCGATCTCGCCAAAGCGGGGATGCTTCGCCCCGGCTCCGCCCCCCCCCCCCCGGACCTGGGGGCGGGGGGACGCGGGGCGACCGAGTCCAGGGGGGAGGGGGCTGGGCGGGGGGTGTGGGGGGCACACGCGGCAATCCCCCCCCCCCCTCCGGAAGTGCGTTGCCAGGTCGGACGGAATTTCATAACAAAAGCCCCGGCCCCTGCAGGGAGTTCTCCCCGCCCCGCCCGCCCCGCTCCCCCTCCTGGCCCGGATGGCCACGGCCGCGGTGTCCGAAAGATAAGACCTGACACTGGGCCGCACAAAAACCGGCGCCGGCTCGCCTGGCCCCGGGCCACACCACCTGGCCCAGGAGGCGATACGTGCGCGCGCGCGCGCGTGTGCACATGCGCCCAGTCAGGAGGAAGCCCGGGGGCAGAGAGGGCCGGGGGCCGGGATAGGGCGGCTGTTTTGTACCTTCCCTCTCGAGCGTTTCTTTGGCCACACCCGGCCCCGGGCTTCCCATCCGGGGGGAGCGGGGCAGGGGGAAGGGGTGGCCACGCGATGCACTTGCGTCGTCTCCTGCCCGGAGCCATCCTTTTCGGGCGGCGATAGTCTATCGGCCCGGGGCTCTGGACCGGGCTTCCAAGGTGCCGCACGCACACGCATTCATACCACTCGAAAACATCCGCTCCCTGTGTCGGAGGTTCACACAAGTGGCAGGACGCGAGCTGTTGGGGTGGCCGGAAGGCAGGACACCCGGCCCGCAGGCTGGTAGATGACGCTGTCCCTCGAGCCGCCTCGTGGAGCTCGCGCGATCTCGTCCTCCGCAGGGCGTCTGCTCGAATGGAAGGCGGTGGGCGAGTCAAACACGCGGGACCTCTCTCCGGCGCCCGGCGCCCTCTGCCCGCCCCCCCCCGGGGGGGCCTACACTCGTCAGCCGCCACGCATCCGGGTGTACAAATAAGAACTCGGAGAACATCCGGCGCTTCCAGTCAAGGGACGTGGGGTTCTCGGACAGCACCAGGCATGCACATTCCCCGTTCCCCCGGCCATCCGCCTCACATCACCCCGGGCCCAGCCATCCACCATGGGGAGCGGGAGCCCGAGCGGCTCGGTGCGGCCTCTCTCCCTCTCTCTTGATGGCTGTTCATGTTTGCCTCGCCCCCTTGAGCACTTGCCCAGACCCCCGGGGGGGGGGGGGGGGGCCGGAGGGCGCGGCGAAGGATTGAAACACCGCCAAAGCAGGCCCGGGCCGATCGACAATGTGCAGAGACGTTCTCCCACACAAACATCCTGGCTTCGAGCCACATTCCAATGACATCCGTGCCCGCGGGAGGCCTCACACATCGGGCCTCCACGGTGTATGTCCC